GTGAAAAATAGAACACTAACACATGCTTATGTGAACTTCTGTATACATGCTAGAAGTCTCAAAAATAAGGTGAGAAATTAAAATTACAAGTTTTGAATATGGATATTTGTGTAGTAAGCATACCAGAAACAATGTAGGGAGGAATGTAGGAGGAATTACACTCTAGGACARTGTAATATTAAGTTTCCTAGAAAAGTGAGAGGAGATCATGCCAGAGGAAGAATAAAACTGAATGTTAAAAATAGCTTAAAATCAAATCAGATAGAACAAGTATTAGTAGGCAATATGGAATTTCAAACCATAAAATTCTAGACATGACTAGGAAAACTTAACCTTCAGTATTGAAGTTGAATATAGGCAACTATGTGGCAATGATAATGGTGTACTGCCAAGAGAAATGAGAAAGGCTGTGAGGGCAAATAGTAGAATGCTAATGGAAAATATCAGTGACTTTGTCATCATGCGTAAAATGCACTTCAGGCAATATTAACTGCTTCATGGAGCAGTTACTATAAGGAGTAGCCCCTAAGCAGAGAAGCAGCTCAAGTTAATCTTAAACAGTGTTCAGGGTCTGACTTGAATGATGTTCTGCGAATAATGATTAGAATGTGGTTGAGTTTAGTATCTCTGCAGAAATAATAATTATATATTTTAAAAGAAGCTGATGTGGTAGTATCTAATTTAAAAAGGGGATCTAGATAAGTAAATTTATTAAAAAGAAATGAGGTTGGYAGCAGAAAAAAGCTGAAATACTGTGATTGTACTGTTATGACTCAGTCTTATTCTGCAACATGAAGAGTTTTTATTTGTCCAATTTTGTGAAGATTGATTTACTTTTAATTCATATTCAACAAAGTGAGTTCAAGGGTACTGGGAAAAAGAAGACTGCATCTTGGACCCATGGATCTTGGGTTTTCTTTCCAAATCTGCTGTAGATTTTCTATTTCTATGGCTTTGTTGCAAACTTCAAAAAAAAAAATGCATCGAGCTTATATATTTTGAACATTCATCCCTAACATGCTGCTATGTGGTCGTATTTGAAAAGACTGTCTGGGATAACAGAAGTGGGAGTGCTAATACCTGTCTCAGCTCTAATATTGATAGTCTTATTCCTCCTGAAAATACAGTTGCAGATAAAGATCTGTGGAATAAATACATTATAGAGAGTTTTATAATGGCTCTGTTGGACTGAGAATTTAACAGTTCTGTACTTTTCTTTGAGGTGGGAGAAAAAGCATTTCATTTTATTAGAAGGAACAGGAAAAAAAAATCAAGTTATTGACATTGTATTGGGACTTTGAGGCATGTTCATATCTTAATTTAGGAGAAGTGACTTTGATAGTCTTCTGGTGTGTAGTAAATTATGTGCTGGCACATTATTTATGACTCACTGAGGCAAGAATTGTAACACTCCAGAGCATGCATGAACACAATCAGGTTTCTCAGATATGTGAGGAAAGTTCCCTGATTAAATAAAAAAAGATACGTAACAATTGGAATCCCTTTAACACCAGATTTATTTGTGGGATTCTTACATTTTGGTAGTTTTGACTCTGCAAGTAGCTCAAGTGAAAAATAGCCTGGGATTTTTGTGGAGAGGGCTAGAGTAGGTGGCAGAATCTGATCTGTAAAACTAGTTGTCAATTTTGTATTTTTAAGAGTGTGTCCCTGTAAAGCAGCTCAATGAAGCATAATGAGTACTGAAAGCAGCGTAACTGGGCAGGAGCTGCTGAGGGTGAGTGAGTGCCTATGAAGTACAGGGAGCAGTGCTAAACCTGTGCTGCTTCTAGCACTCGAGTTGTCCTCATTAGAGCCAGCATGTGCCATCTCTGCAGCACACTGCAGAGTTGACAGCTTGCATCTTCCAAGTAGCCTGTTGGAAAAGAAGCAAAAGGCAGGAGAAAAGACTTCCAAGAAAGGATAGTTGGAAATGGGAATGATCCCACATAAATTTGAGATGATGTTTAGTGACCAGATAGGCATTGAGAAGGACACTAATCTTGGATACTTTCATCTTTAGCTCTAGCACCTTCCACTGCCAGAAAAGGTCTGCTCCACAAAACAGAAGCCCAGTAGTTTCATGGTGCTCACAGTGTGTACAATGTGGCCTCTAGAAACCTGTGCACAGTCAGATGTGAAAGGAAGTCGTGCTGCCCTGACTCTGCTCAGCGAGGCCTGGGTCAGAGTGACTCATTCAGACTCGGGGCATGTCAGCATGGTCTAAAAATGACCTGCAGAGCATATTGTGACAAATTTTTAGTGAGTTGCAGCCCATGACCTTTTAGTATTTGAGTTATAAAAGTTTCTATGGCAAAGCCATCTTATTTGATCCTATCTTTTCAGTTCTCTCAGTAGCTTAGTCCTGGTTTGCAGTATTGGGCCCTTTTTAGTTATGAACATGTAAGGTTGAGCTTAAGAAGTGGTTAAAGACACAGAACATATACAGAGTGATATTATATACATATTATATATAATGACAATCTCAATCAGGAAACTTTGGTAGAATGTTCTGTTTATTTTAGATGATGCTTTTTAATATTACAGAGAACCCACTTAAGAGTTGGCCTTTGCATTTTTCATTATGCTCCCTCCAGGAAAGATTTTGTGATGTTTGTGTGTGGGCAGGTTTAGAAATTGTGGTGTGGTGCCATTCCTTTGGGAGATTCTGAGGTGAGAAATATCATGAGAGGGAATAACAGCAGTAATTGATTCTCTACTGAACACTCAGGTTTCTTATTGTCAAAGCAGGGAAAATATTTCCAGTATATTTATAATATGACCATAGCACTTCAAGCAGTTAGTGTGAAACAGAGCTACTTAGCTCTAGTAATGCATCTTCCTCCTTTCCAGGAAATGGCATAGCATAAAACAACTTTGACTTTGTTTCCAGTTTTCTATTATGTTTAGAAACTTTCCAGGTAGTTCAACTAATATCTGTGGGTAGTTTTGTCAGAAAAATCAAAACTTCACTCAGGACATCCTAGCAGCTGGGTGGCTAATGGCAAGGACCACTGTGACGCTAGGAAAAATCTTGAGCAAAACCTGACTTAGCACCTGAAGAAATTTTCACCTGGTTTAAGATATGGCTTTGCACTGCCTCCTCATTTATTTATGTAAAGTAACAAATGGAAACAAAATGTATCGTCATCAKCAGGAGAGTGCTTGGTTCTCAACCTGTCTTCCCCTGTTCTAGGAGCAGCAAGGTAGAAGAGCTGTTAAGAATCTCATTTCCTTTTTCGTTTCTAGCTTTACAGCAGAGAAATTCATCTGGCTGAGATGTCACCTAAAATGTCAAAATAACATTAGCAACTAGTAGTGCTAAGAGAAGAGCATTTTTATGACCATGTCCACAGCACAGAGAAAGGCATAACAGCATATTTCTCAATCTTTGCACCTGGAAACAAGATATTTATGAAGTTTCAGAAAATGAATTGAACCTCATAAAAGTCCTGACTACCAGCATCTGTAAGTGCTGCTGCAGCTCTGCCAAGTCARTTCAGGCAAGACATATAACATGGTTTTAACATCTAGAAAGGAATTTTGTGAGTAATTTAAGTGCATTTCTGAAAAGCAAAAAGACTTGAGTATAAAACAGTYTTACTATGAATTAAATTCAGGAATTGCTTGGATATCTGAAGCACATGGGAAATCCATTTCAGTACAGCACATGGGGAAAAAAATGATAAAGGGAAGATTTCCTAGGGGAGAGCCACAGCAATTCCTGACCGAGGTAGTAGTCAAAGGGTCTCTGTTGGAAGCCTGACAGCTGTGTTAGCCCCCTGCTCTGTAGAGGCTGAAGCTGTCCTGGTCTATTATTGTCAGCAGCAAAACAGTAATGTTTGTCTCTGCCCTGCTTTCTTTCAGTCACAAAGACTGCTTTTGGCCAGTAATCAGAAAAAAATAAATACTTTGAGACCTTGTAATGCCTATTCTTACCACACCTCTGCATGTGTGCAGATGGTAATGTAAATAGTCTCCTTAGTTCATGTCAGGAGAAACAAAGCAGCTCAGAGCTGTCTATAGAAAGAGCTGTTAAAAACAATTWGAAGTGGTTTCTGAGGAGGAGAAAAATGCTTCTGTCAGCTGCCAAAACACAAAGAGGAGGGAAATTTGAAATCCTCTTGCTAAACCTGCACTCTCCAACTCCTCATCAGTATGAATTAGATTATATCAATGGAGAAACAGGTCATTTTGGCAAATGAGGAAAGCAACACTGAGGAATGGCTGTCACAGAATTAGGATTAAAAGATGGGAGCACAGAGAGGGAGGAGTGTAAAAGAAAGCAAGAGTAAAACCAATGAAAGATTGAATGAGAGAGACCAAAGACATGAATGGGGGAAAAAAAAAAAGTGTTAGAGATTTTGAAGAGTAAAGAACACAAGCTATGAACAATTGAGGACTCTACATCTTGTCTGCCTCTCATCACTTACTATGCCTTAGCTCTGATTTTTTGTTTTAGCAGAAAATCTGATCCCAAAGCTTCCTCTTCTTTCTCACCTGTCCACTGCAATTGCCGTCATGGAGTAGATGCTGGCAAAGACAGCTGTGATGGGGAAGAAGTTGTGAAAGCGGCAGTAAGCCTCTCCAAAGTACCACTCACTATGCAGTGCGTAGATGAAGTTGATGACAGTATTGAAAGCAGCCATGGAGGCATCTGAGAAGGCCAGGTTCACCAGGAAGTAGTTGGTCACTGTCCTCATGCGCTTGTGAGCTAGAATGATCCAGATGACGATGAGATTTCCAAAGACGGCCACTGCCACCACCCCACTGTATGCCAGAGACCACAGGGCAATGCGCCAAGAGGGCTGCACAAACTGGTTGGAGAAGTTGGCTGCTGAGGATGCGGCAGGGGAAGAAGCATTTCCAGCTAGAGCTCCCTGTGCCTCTCCCCAGAGATCACCTGGCTCGGCGAGGCTCCCATCCCACTGGTCACTTGTGTTGGCAGTCGCATGGGCTGTGGGGACAGAAGTCATCTTGGATGTTCCTCTCTTCTGGGAATAAAAAACGTCCCCACTTCCTTCTCCTAATCCTCCAAAGTCCCCTCCAACAGATAAGGGGGGAAAAAAAAAAAGAAAAAAGCAAGTTAGCACAGTCAGACCAGCCTGCTGGGAAAAAGCTTTGGCTATGCTGTTCAAACCCTGAGAAGTGTTACACGACTGGATCAGGAAATAACTGCTTGCTGATAGACGAAAGTCCCATTGCTTTTCTGTAGAGCCTGCTCTTTTAGTTTTGCTGAAGGGGCTCAGGAGCCAAGCATGTTTTATAGGCTTGCGAGTTGCCAGCGTCATGCAGGGACTGAAGCGATGAGCATCATCGGCTGGTAAGATAACACCTCTTCCTCTCCCCTCTCCCGCCTCCCTTTTGTTCCATTCATTGTCAGCAGCAGCACTTTTAGGAGCTGTGCGGAGAGCTACCAGGAAAAGGAATTCTCTGTTCTTGTTGGGAATTTTTTTTTTATTTTGCTTTCCTTTTAAGTTTCATTCTTGCACTTGCTTTTTCAATGGCCCTTTGCCCTGTCTTTGCAGGACTAATTAAATGGCTTAGTCGAATATTTGTGGTTGAGATTGCTTTTTATTAAAGCTTTTTTGAAAAAAATTCATGCATATCCTCTTTTTTACTCCTATTTTTTTTTCCTTTCAGGGCATGTTTTATTTGTTGTTAACTACAGATTTGAAATAACCTCATTCAGATAAAGAAATATATCTATATCTATATATATATGTTTTTTCTTTTCATTTTGTAATATACTAATAATATCTGGAAGCATCTATAAAATAACATCTATAAATGTCTGTAAAATTAAAATGTTATTACCTTTTTCTTACAGCATTAACCTTGTTGCTTGAAAAGCTGTTTGCATATCCATCTGACACTGATTTCCATGTAAGCACCATGCAGCTCTGTATATAGATTTTCTTAAATATGGATAAAGTAGTAAGGATTAGTTTTCTTTGTGTCTTTTCAAAAAGCATATATATTGTGAAATATTTTTTACTTTATGYATTTATTTTTCACTAAGTGTAGTTATTTTTGGGGAAAACAATATTTCTGTATCCAATGATTTCTATACTGGTAGAAAGGCAAATGAGTACAAGTCATACCTATTTTTTCACATTCAAGAAATCAGTTTGCTTGTTAATTGGTTAAGAGCAGCTGGCATAGAGATTGCATGCTCTGTGTGAAGCTTGATTGCTTCAATCCACAATCCTATGTTATTTGATAGGCTGCAGTCTACAGAGAGAAAATGCGTTTTAGCACTGATCTGTTCCATGCTTCAGCAATTTAGAGCTACTACTTGTCATCATCAGAGATTTCCTTTCAACTGTGTCACAGCAGTGGGAGCTATTTCAATAGCTTTTATTAGAAATGGCACATTCTACATTTTTTAAACAGAAGCTTAGTACAAAAATGAAGTATTCCTGTGTGTCATTATCTCTGTGCTGTATTGACTCTGTGGAAGTGGTGTCTGCACTTTAGTAGTCTTCACTGCAGTTTTAACATGGATGACTCCAACTCTGGCCATTTCTATATACCTCTTAGGTTTAACCAGCCGACATGGTGCCAAGAAGCAGCTCCTCATTCCAGGCCTAGGAGTTCTGTGGACATCTGACCTTTGCTACAGCATTTTCTAGAACCTGTCGGCAAGTGGCAGGTCCTYGTCATAGATAACTAATCCTATAATTCATTGGAGTGAATCTCACACTTTCTTGTTTTGAATCCTTCATCTTCGATCAGCATCATCCTTTTTCCTCTGCTTGGAGGTATGTTTAAAGAACAATAGTTCACAGGCCATTTTCCATATAGACCTTGGGCCGCACTCTCAAGAGATCCCGTAATAAGAGGCACAGAGACTTTTTGTGCTGGGGTAGATTGAGTAACTGTAAGTCTGTTCCCAAGGAAGTTGTAGGATAGGAGACTTTCCTTTGCCCTTTGTGCATGCATTGGTGGGGGAAGAGTTTGAGTTGTAAGAAAAGATCTAAGTTACAGTCAAAACCTGAGGAAGAAACTGAATTAACTGTAGTCTGAGTCTGTTGAGGAATTCACATGTTGATTCTAGTGCATGAGGAATGCAGGACTGGCTAGTTATGGAAATGACCTGAAGACTCAACTCTTAATTCTAGAAGCTTAATTTGAGATTATCACATGGCTTTGAGGCAGAAAGCAGAAACCCAGACCTATTCCCTACACCTTTCTGCCTTCATTCCCAAACTAGTAACTCCAGCCTGTATTCCTTCAACTTACTGATGTGTTCCACATTAGCACACCAGGAACCAATGTCCTCATTGTSTCTCTCGTGTTTCTGATGCTTCTAGCCAGCAGTCCCAACCTCACCACGATTAATCCTCCTCAGCTTAAACAGAGACCTAGGGCAGAGGGAATAAATCAAGTCTGAGGTCTTTAATTCTTTCCTATTTCAGTGTTTYTACAATACAGCCTTTATAAGTACTTTCCCTACTAATTTTACTTCTTCATGGTCTCTACGAATTAGAACTGACTTCTATCATCATCATGACATCAGCAAAAGCTATCTCAGTGGTACATTCCTCTGAAAAAGGAGCAGTATGCAGTTCTGCGCTCTTCAGTACCTTTAGGTTAAGTGTAAGCCCCCATCTCATTATGCAAGCAAAGCAATAGATAAATCGACTCCTTGAGACTTGATTCAAAAATTGGGAAGGTTTTCTTATTTTGTGCTTGTAAAATGCTAGCTAGACCATAAATACAGTGCATGACTAAGTGTCCACTTCCAGGTAYAGAAATGAAAGTACCCTTTCTTTCTCTGTTCTTGGAGGTACGCAATATATGGAGAAATATTCCACTCRTATAGGAAACCCTGCACACTCTCTCTTCTCCCCTGGTGTGGGGAAGAAAAGCTGTGGGGTATCATTTACATAACTTCATAATGTTCATACCAGGAAAATCTGGAGTTTTGCTAGTTCCTAGTTCAGTAAGCTGGATCTGTCTGCTGTGTTGCAGCAGGTACCTGAATCCAGTAGAAGAGGTGGCTTAGTGCTTTGGAGCTGGTTAGTGCTGGGAAGCAGAACACTGAGCAGCATAGAGTGAATGCTGGGCAGCTGGCTCAGTYACCTAGGGAGCACATTTGTGATTGCTTTTGGAAAGGACTGTAAAAATTTGCTAGAAGAATTTCTTCTGTGTTTTGACTTTGATTCTCAGTGATGCAACTCCAGAGGAGCTTTCTAGTAGAAGTTGCTGGAGCAGAAACAGCCAGTCCTGCCTTCAAATGTCTGAAGCAGACATGTAGGTTGACTTGTCCCTTAGCAGTTATCTCTSTAGCATTTGATTTAATTTAGGAAAGAGGTTCTTGGCTCTTGTCTAGAGGGGTCACTTGTGCTTCCCTACCACAATTTATATCAACTGTATGTGTTAGGATCAAAATGCAGTTTGGAAGATTTTTGAGAAATTGATAAGAAGTTCAACATCATGTTTGGTAAATGCATTTTTATTACTAACCTCTGTGTAGCAAAACTTGCCTGACTGGTGTATCATATGCAGAAATTTTTGTTATTCAGTCTCTTTTAGAAAGATGCACATAAATGAAAAAAAAAACAGTTGTAGAGGGTAACCATTCTGGGAGCATATTCCCCTAAAACTATCTTAAGTAACTGATTCCTTATGTTAATTTTTGCCTATTACAGCTTATACATATTCACAATGGCAATTTTTCCTTTACCTCCACATAAGATTGTACTTGGTTTTAGTCACTACTTTTTGATCTGTTTGCTGCTCTCTTTAGCCCTTCTACTGACGAGCTTCTTTGTGCCTGTGCAGTAAGCTATGGTTACAGTTACATTCCCAGCTTCACAGAGATCCTTAGGAATATTAATGGACCGTTGCAAGCATGATCAGGAAAAGAACTTGAATTGTCTATAGTTCTTCTTCTGTATTGCACAGAAGGAAGCTATTTTTTACATTTCCAGCAAAAYGTTTCCTACTGCGCCCAGGGTGGAACCAAAGCTCTTTGCTTCACATCTTCACACTGTTACCAAGGTATTCTTATAAATTATTCTGATTCTGTTTATGAGTGTGATTCATCTTCTATCTATCTCCTGGTGTACTATTGGTTTCCATCTGAAGTCATTCTGCCAGTAAACTCATCTGCATGCTACTATGTTGAGAACTAGCATATGAAATGGTGGAGCATAAGTAGGGATTTATAGCAAAAGGGCAGCCAATGCAGTGTACCTGTTTAACATAAATGTTAACTCACATCATGGTTAATTCCATCAGTTCTATTTCAGAGCTGGCCTCTGTGCTTCCTGGGTTTTGTGTCTAGCTCTGAGGGTATTTCTAGGTTTGCTTTTGATTTTAGGTTTAATTGTAATGAAGACGTAGCCTTACAGCCTCACTTCCTGCATCCCTCCCCGAGCCCCTAGCTGGTACCACAAGAAATTATCCTTTATCAAAGCTTTGGTGTTACACATGTTCTTATTCAGTACAATGTTACTTAACTGCTTTGATATCTACTGTTCACCGCTTAGTTATACAGAGCTTTAGTTAGGGCAGGAGGATTCTTGCTGTTTAAGGATGCTCAGCCCTGTCCTATTTGTTGTGACTGCTTGTTGTCATTGTACTGTTGTCATGAGAATGTCAGCCTCCCTGGATTTTGAACAAACATTTTGATTGCATTTATTTATGTAGCTTAAAACACAGCTGGAAAYTCAGCTTGACCCTGATTGATGGTTATTGCTTATGAATGCAAAAGTCATCTTGCCAGCASCTATTCAAAATGACTCAGTAGGTTATCAAGCAACTTCACAAGCACGTGGCTGTTGCAACAAAGATATCAAACAAACCCAGGAATATTGTGAGGTAACATGAGGTAGCATGGGGGAAGTTCAGATCATATAGTTCTAGGTCTCTCTAATTCCCAACCCCCCATCTGTGTGTCTCAGGGAAATGTGTACTCTGTATGATCTCTCCCTATTTTGTCTAGATGTACAGACAGAACAAAAAAAAAAATTGGAACATTATTCTGTTGAAAAATTAACTATCTGTACCCACCCCCTATGCTGGAGTTGGTGAAAATCTTCCTGTTGATTTGCATTTCTGTCAAGCTATAACAAAAGAGGTGCACAAAAAGTAGGGACTGTACTTATGTTACAAATTTACATTTCTTGCACCTGTGACAAAGAAAGCACAGCCTTCTTTACATGAATCAACCCAAAAGCTTTTATCAATTTTTTTTTTCCCCAACATGAAATAATAGTTTACCTAGATCAGTTCTTGGTCTGGGGAAGACCTGAGGCCTCCCTCTGTTTTTGGCAATGTAAGGTGCTTGCTGAAGYCATCATATCATGCTTAATACCTGATCCTGTTTCTGGCATATCTGGAGCTGTTAAGTTTCTTGCTGCATAGCTGTCTGGTTACTTCAAAGGCTTTTTCATCACTTCAAAAGATACCTTTTGAAGCTACATAAAAGATAAGGATATTACATTGTTCTCCAACTGTTACTTCCCTGGGAGGTATCTGCCTTGTTGCCTTCGGTAGAACTAGTTTCTTTTATATCTTGCAAAGAAATAATTTATTATCTGTAGTGCCTCTGCCTTTATTAACTCCCTGGAAGCCTAGAGATTCTGTGGTCCTCTTGTGAGTGAGAAAGACTCCACAAGTGGAGTCAATTGCTACTTTAAACTGTACATCCTTTCAAATCCAAAATCATGACCTTACCGTCTAGTAGATAGCATGCATGAATTCCAGAGTTTCTTTCTTGCAAGAGGTGTTACTGTGCTCCAGTTCCCTAAAGTTTGGATGATGCTCCAGCAAGCTCATTGAACTTTGAAGAAAGCCAGAACTTCACCATAGTATTACTGAATCTTTTTAACTGTTATTTTAACACTGCGCTGGACACAGTTTACAGTCACTTAGGAGTTGATGCCCACTGAACTCATTGATGTGATAGCAACTCGAGCCCCTGTGTTATCAAAGCATTCTCAGGTAGTTACGTTAACTTCATGAACATAAAAACAACTACTTTGAATGTAATATTTCTTACAGATTCCCATGGTAATACTTGGGCCATGCTTGGATCTCACGATGAACCCATACTCAGGATGCAGGAGCTAGAGAGCTGATGAGGGCCAAATATTCTTCTGGGATAGGTACTGAGGTACACCTTCTCTGAAACCACTTTCAGAGTAGAATAGTGATCAACAGGTAAAGGTTTTATGGGTTATTCCTGAGACAGCTAGCATGCAAATAGAAATAAAGATCATTCTGAGTTACAGATATATTTGCAAACTACTTTTTAGAGGAAAGCTTTCTTTAACACAGAAAGAACCATCAGGGTTTCTTTAGTCACTGAGWGTTTGATCTTGTGGTCTTCCTGGAAGGTTAAATGCACTTCCTGTTGTTACCTGCTACTTCAGCTCACTATGAAAAACATCTGTCCCCTATTTTTTAGCTCCTATGCATAGGCCATGCCTGAAGGAGCTGAGTAGGTGGTATAGTGCGTTGCCTGTGTCAAAATGTAATTTGTTGGGCACAGCGGTTCTATGAAAAATAGTTTTTACTCATTTGCTTTTCTGGTCAGCTAGACCTGAGAGAGAAAAATACACTATTCCAAGTACAATACTAGCAATTTCTTTCCTGATGTCTAGAAGGCAATTGCTTGTGCTCATTTTCTTGCTACGGTTTCTCTAAATGTTTCTTTTACTGATCACACAACACAATGTTCTCCCGTAAGTTGTGGTTTAAGACATTGTGCTCCCATTTGTGAC